TTACCATGTGATAAGAGAACCGGTTAGAAAAATAATAATTTGTGTGTGTGTGTGTTTGTGTGTTTCTCTCTCTCTCTCTCTCTCTCTCTCCTCTCTCTCTCTCTCTCTCTCTCTCTCCTCTCTCTCTCTGTGTTTGTGTGTGTGTGTGTGTGTGTATGTACATCTTGAATAATTAATACTGCGTAATTAATATCATCTCGTTCCATTATGCACGCTGTGTCGTGGCGTGAGTTTGCCGACTATCTTTCGCGGAACATTGTTACAATCCCCGGTATAAATAATTTTTCGAGAAAAATTACTGGGAAAGTTTGCCAAGATATGGACATTCATTCGGAGTGAACGTACGTCATCGAAAAACGACTACACCGTCTTAGAAAGTTTTCGTTAGCATACCTAGATGATAAACCCAAGATCTTTCTTAGTGCGTCTCCTCTGAAAGTGAAGTTGCCACCAAATTCAAAGGAACATCAGAAACGTTTTCCTCGTCACCTTCATCCGTTTCTTCAGTATCCATAGATAGATGTCGCTGTACACGCTCCTCGGCTTTCGTATGTTGCTACAATTAAAGGAAATCGCATTTAATAGCAATTCACAACAAAAGATAAATTGATTGCGGTTACGAAGTGGCGGAGAGTACACGTATGGTTAGTTAGTAGAACATTAAGGTAGGAAAGTGGACGGTTATTGTTGAGAGAAGATAAGATAGAGAAACGAAGAAAGAAGTAAACGAGTTGAGAATATAGGAAAAAAGGAAAAGAAAAGTAACAACAAAGAAGTGAGGGGAAGAAGAACGGGGAAGAAGAAGGAAAGAGAAATACACCAGTAGTTGAGAAAAAGAGGAGACAGATGGCACCATTGGCGAGAAGATTGTGTTAAGGTTATATAAAAGAAGGTTAAATTATTATATTTAATATATTTACTTGCGCAACCCATGATGCATTGCGAAAGACCGCGAGAGCCAATAACATAGTTTGCCTTATTTAGCATCTCTTTTCAATATTTAGTATCTCCTTTCAATAGCTGCACACAATCGATTCTTTCCATTGCATTATGAGTTGCGAAAGGCTCATGACTTAACCTTCTTTTATATAACCTTAGGTCATGTAAAAGGAGGGCTCAGACGGAAGGTAAGATACCGGATGAGTGGGTAGGAGGAGGGGAGAAATTTGGAGGGGAGAAATATGCGAGAAATTTGGAGAAAATAATAGAAAACATGTACGTAAAGATGCAAGAATTCATAGTAGAGCAAATGGAAAAAATTAGGAAAGAATTAGCGGAGGATAGAATGGCAAGGGAAGAGGAGAAGGAAAGAGAAAAGAAAATGTGGAACGAGGAAAAAGAACAATTAAAGCGGAGAATAGCGGACTTGGAGCAGATTAATGAGAAGAGAGAAAGGGAATGTAAAAATAACAGTGATAAAAGGAGTAAAATGGACAACCGGAAATATGGAAAAAGAGGTGGAGAAAATTTGTGTAAAGGAAAATTTAAAAACAAAAGTGAAAATGAAAAAGGCATACAAGATAAAAATAGAAGAGAACAAGGCGATCGTAATAGCAAATTTAGATAGTTAGGAGTAAAAGAGAGAGGTAATGAATAGGAAAAAGGATTTAAGGCTAGGCATATGGATAGAAGATGATTTGACGAAAGAAGAGAGAGAAATACAGGGAAAGCACTAGCAAGGGCACTAGCAGGAGAGGACAAAGAGAAGGGAAATAAAGTAAAAGTAGAATATATGAAAATATACAGGGTGTCCTAGACCACCCGTACACCCCTTTTCTTTCAAAAACTAAGCATTTTAGAGAAAAACGTTTTGAACAAAAATTGTATGGTTTTGAGGGGATTAGTAAAAAAAACACGCTGCCTCCACGCATATACTTTATAACGCGAAGTGAGGTTTCACATGGGTTTACAACCTTCCACGCAACCGTGTATAAATACGAAAAATACTGAAGGTAATTCTTGTAATAACATTTCTGTTTATATATAAAGCGCTCGCTTGTAACGAAAAAGTAAACGGTATTGTTATGGCTATTCATATATGCTTGCGATTCTATCTATACAGTGTCAAAAATATAAATTGTACCTATAACACTTATTTTGTTAGTAACTTTTTAATAAACTACGAGCGACGGCTATGACCTTTTGAAGGTCAGGATGATGACCTTGACAACATATGTCAAAGTCAAGATCATACGAGGGGGGTCCCCTTTTCTGCAGGTTTACCAAACTTGGATAGACGAAAAAGATTGGAAGAAAATTAGAGGAAGAGTGTCAAGCAAATTTAGAGTTGTATGCCGGCAAGAAGAGAGAATAAAAAAGGAAGAACAAAAGGGCGAATCATTACAGCTGTAAATAAGAGTTTGCAAGAGGTAAGCATTAGAAATATAAGTTATCAAGCAGTGGAGATAAAATTCAGGTATAACGGAAACAGATAGAGAATAATTACTGTATACAGTCAAAATGTAGAAGAAACCATGGAGACAATAAGGGAACAAATACGAAAGGAGAAAGAAGAAAATCTAGTAAAAGGAGATTTTAATGCAAGAACGGAAAATGAGGGAGGACTAGTGAGAGAGGAAGATGGAAAAGTAAGAGAAACAAGAAACTCAATAGATAAGGTAGTAAATAGAGAAGGAAAAATACTAGTAAATAAAATAAAAAAAAGAGGATGAAAGTTATAATAAAAAAGGAGAATGGACATACATTGGTGAATAGGGAGCATCAATAGTGGATTATGCGGTAGCAAATGAAAAGGCTGAAGAAAATATTAAAATGATAATAGAAGGAGATCGAACGGAATCAGACCATGTATCATTGGAAGTGGAATTGAAAGGACCGAAAACGAATGTAATAAGACAGGAAAGAACAACTAAAATAATAGAAAAAAGTAATTGGACAGAAGAGGGAATAAAAAATTATCATGAAAAATGTGAAGAATGAAAAAGCACGTAAATAAAGAATAAGAATATTTGGAAGGAGCTGAAGGAGAAGATAAAAAGCTCAATTATAAAAACAAAAAAGAAGATTTTGGAGACTGGGAAAAAAAGAATGGCATAGTAAAGAATGGAAGAGAGAAAAAAGGTATTTAAGGAAAATGTTAAGGAGGATAAAGAAGCGTAAGATCAACCGTGAAGAATATGTCAGAAAAAGAAGAGATTATAAAATATGGTGCGAAGAGGAGAGGAAGAGGCATGAAAAGGAAGAAAAAGAAAAGATAAATAATATTAGAACAAAAGCGGAGACATGGAATTATGTAAACAAATACGGCAAGAAGAGAGAAAGAATTGATGAAGATATAAAATTAGAAAGTTGGAAAAATTATTTCATGGACTTATTAGAAGGAACGAAGAGAAGAGTAATACTAGAATTGGAAGAAAGGAAAGAAGAAGAGGAAGAGAAGGAAGAAGAGATCCTGGATATAACAAAGGAAGAACTGATAAGACAGCTGAAGAGATTAAAAATGGCAAAGGCAGGGAAGGACGGTATAGAAAATGAGGCGTGGAGATATATGTCAAAGGAGATAAGAGAGGTATTCTGGAAGTTATTAAACAATATATGGAGAAAAGGAAAATTACCGGAAGACTGGAATAAAGGAATAATTAGACCGATTTACAAAAAAGATGAGAAAAGTGAGGTAAAAAATTACAGAGGAGTAACATTGATGGATATAACTTAGAAAATTTACGCAGGTATTTTGAATGAGAAATTAATAAAAGCAATGGATAAGAAATTACAGAAAACACAATTTAGATTCAGAGCGGGAAGAGAAACAATGGATGCGGTGTATATGTTTAATAAATAAAGAACTAAGGAAGAAAGGAGGAAAGATATTTGTGTTTTTTGCGGATCTTAAGGCGGTATTCGACAAAATGGATAGACAGAAGTTAAATAAAAAAATGGAGAAAATAAAAGTAAAGGATTACTTAAGAAGAAGGATTGTGGAAACATATAGGAAGACGATAAATATAGTGAAAGTAGGAGACAGACAGACAGAAGATTTTTGGAAAGAGAAGGGGGTGCGACAGAAGTGTCCATCCTTCATTGTTCAATATATATGTGGCGGATGTGGAGCATGAAATGAAGATGGAACAGACAGGAGGAATGACAACAGGAAAAGAAAAATTTTTGACGATGATGTATGCAGACGACATTTTTGGCGAAGAGCGAGGAAGAATTAAAGGATTAAAAGGAATGCTGAAACGATTTAAAAAATATTTAGAAAAAAGGGGGTTGGTTCTAAGCTCAGAGAGATTAAAGATAATAGTATTTGAAAATGGAAGAGGAAAGAAAAAGAAAAGAAAGTGGAAATGGGGAGAAGAAAGCATAGAGGAGATCAAGGAAATAAAATATTTAGGATACATAATGCAAAAGAACGAGGGAGCGGAAAAACAGGTGATAGAAAGATTTAAGAGAGCGACAATTGCTACGAAAAAGATTTGGAGTATAGGAGAAAAGCTTTTTAAGAACAACTATAGAAGAAGATTAAAGATGTTTGATGCTTTAGTAGACAGTGTGGTGCTGTATGGGGCAGAAATTTGAGGGTGGAAGAACGAGGCTGGGCTGGATAGGATTAAAAGAAAATACGTCAAGTGGATATTAGGTTTGGATAGGAGAACGCCAAACTATATTTTAGTAGAAGAGACGAAAATGATAGAACTAAGATTAGAAGCAATAAGAAAAGCTATTAAATATGAAGAAAAGGCAAGAAATTCGGAAAAGAAAATAGTAATCGAATATATAAAAGACTTGGAAAAAGAAAGAAGGGAAAGAGAAGAGAGCAAATGACAAGAGACAAGAAGAACATTATTAAAAATAATAGGAATAGAAAAAGAAGAGATAAGAAGGAAGAGAGAAGAAGGAAATCATGAGATGAAAGCAGACCAATACTGAAAGGAAACAGAGGATAAGATATGCAGAATATATGAAAATGAGGAAGAGAGTATAACACACATGCTAAGGGAGTGTTATGCGACAAGGAATGATATACAAATCGGTGAATTTTTGAATGAAGAAGGAAAAAGACTAGAGGTAATGAGAAGGATTGAACAGGAAAAAGGAAAGAAACAAGGAAAGGAAGAAGGCTAGATAGTTAAATGGATTAGTTAAATGGAAAGGTTATAAAAAATTATAAAAGATACAAAGTTTTGAAAGACTAAAAGAGAAAGATTAAGAAATTAACAATTCACAATTTATAATTTCAAATTCAATTCAAATTTAATTTCAAGGTATTTAAGGTTTTATAGTTTTAAGTATTTTTTAAGTATTTAAAGTATTTAAAGTATTTAAAGTTTTAATGTTTTAACGATTGAATGTTTATGTTTTGTTTTATATTTTTAAGTTTATATTTATATCTAAAATAAAAAGATGGTGTGAATTTCAGAGTTGAAAGAGCTCTGTTTTCTAAATCTTGCAACACTATGTCTGCATGGTGAGCCCATAGGTGTGCCAAATGTTTGTTGGTAAAAAACCTTATTAAAGGTGAAAAAAGTGGAATTCAAGACAAATTCGATTGCTAGTAAAAATTCCGCTTTGGGGATGTCACAATTCGCACATATA